CCCGGGGGGTGGGCAGGTCGCTGCCGTGGGTGGCGGGAGAGGCGGCTGCTCCGCACGGCGGGGTCGGCCGCTTTGGGCAGTCCGCAGGCCTTTCCCCAGGTGTGCGCCACGGGCTGCAAAGGTCACTCGTTTGTGCTCCGCGATGGTGGCTCTGCTCTCTGGAGAGCACCAGCTGGGGAGCCCCGGCTTTCCTTCAGCGGCTGACTCGCTCCACAACACCGGCTGGTGGTGGCTGGCAAACACCACGCTGGGATGGTGTGCAAAGCCCTCCTTGTTTGCAGAGCTTGGTGAGGAGCTGCTGCTCCGGAGTTAGTCTGGGAGGGCTTACCGAGGGTCTGTTGGACGGAGGTCTGTCCTTGGCAGAGGAAAGAGTCTTATCTCAACTGGTCAAGCAACGTTTTCTGGACAATTTCAAGTCTTTTTCTTTGCCTTGGACTGGCAGTGGGGGGTCAGACAGTACCTGCGCCCCGTCCCTGGGAGCTGCAGTCCAGCTCAGAGTTTTCGTCCTGGCCCCACACATCTCTGTGTAGCGCTGACAGCTCCACACCTCCTCTGCCTGTGTCTGTGGGGAGCATGCCTTTATCTGGAACCCAGGATTTTGGATGTGTATTTCGGCATGAGCTTAGAGACATTGGCCACATGCAGTTTCAGAAATATGGTGGAGTAGGATGGGTGGTCACTGTAGACAGCCGGACTGTGTAGGTGCTATTGCATATGAAGTTGTTTGGCTGTCGTCAACCAACCAATGATTTCCTTAGTGAGTGCTATTAGGATGCTTTCCTTTTTGTTTTCGTTTCCTCTGCAAAATCAGTACTGGGGTGGCGTGAGCTGATCAAGCAGTCAATCATCTAAAACATATTTTCACCCTCAAAATAATGCTTGCTTATTTATTTTTTTTTTTTTGGGAATCTTCTGAAGGTGAATTGCATTATAAACTTCTGGATGTGAAGCTTGCTAAAGAAAAGTGAAACTTAAGATGATGATTTAAATAGTTCCAGTGGCAGACAGGTTTCTCAAAATAGGTGTTTAAAGGAGAGGCAGATAAATTGATTATATTAAAGTTATTTCCTAAAATAAACTATATCTCAGCAGTTCATAGACTTCTTCAAGCAGGTAATATTCAGTTACCGGCAAGATCCATACATACAAGTTCCCAAATATTACAAGTAGTAATAATACGAAACCACAAAAGTTAATAGTTTTTATTGAAATGGAGGAGGACCGTGTGGTTTTTCTGCAACAACGAGGGGGCTTTTCAGCTGTCAGCTCTTGTGTAAATCTTTACCGATACCATTGTGCACCACATCTGGAAAATTTAACTTATGCAGACTTTTTTTTTTTTTTTAAGAAAAAGGAGATAAGTTGGTTAGCCTTAGAGAAAAATGCAGTATGGTAATAAGTATTCTTAGGAAATATATTCTGTTTTTCTTCAGTTGCTATTTCTTCATTCACTGATTATCATTCACAGGATTATCTGTGCAACTTTTGAATTAAGGAAGATCTAGAACACTTTGCTTAATTTACATAATTAAAAAAAATCCAAATAAGTAAAGGAACAAGCACTTAATTACTAAACACTGTATCAGTGGGCTTTCTGATGCTGTATTAATTCTATTAAGTCCTATCTAAGAAACACTGAATTACACTATGACAGTTTTTGATTCAGACTGTGTAAAATGCAGAGGATCCAAAAAAAAGCTATTGTCAGCTGTGCTCCCACAGTAGAAAATAAGAAAAAAAAACGTTTTTACATCATTAAAACAATCTGTATAGGTCAATTTCCAATTGTTTAGAGGATTTTAGAGCACTAATGAAATGTGGGACTGCAGACTGGTTAAAGAGATGCCAGTGGTGTTCAGACACTGAAATAAGTCAAAGGAAATCCACTGATTGCAGATATAGCGTATTGTTTTGGTTACTTGTTCCTGCCCACATTCCTGATATTCTTGAGTGGATTTTGCATAGCTTTTCTGCTTTAAAAAGGCTTTCTCTGCATCCAGAGTATGCAGTAGTATCTTGTTATTTTTTCCTTCACGAAGCATAAAGTCATCACTGTACCAGCCGTTTCCCAATCTGATGGGGTCCACTTACACTGAAGGGGTTTTGCCTTCCTTTTTTTTTTTGGAGGATGTGTGTTTTGATGGATGTAGTCTGTAAACTCTAGCAAGCTGTTAATGATGGAAAAAGTTGGATTCTAATGGGTTAGATCAGGAGCGATTTAAAAACATTCAGGCTCTTCAGCTGTCAGGACAAAGCCTGTTACTATGCTGTGAGGACACCACCATCTCCAGCAGACTGTCCTGTAGCTCTTCGGAAGTGACTTGTACCTGGCTCCGGCAGACCTTCGGGGTCTGGCTCCTGCACAGGCTTCTGGCTTCAGCTCCTAACTTAAACCACCAGCTGTAACAGACAATGTGCCGTTCATCTGTGGTCACGCAGACTCCTGTATTTCCTGCGTGCACTACAAGTCTTAGTGTTTTTTGTAATTTGTGCCTGTGGAACCACTAGAGACCTCTCGTTTCAGAACAGTTTAAGCAGAGAAGGGTGAGCTTTCAGTAGACAGCTAGATCCTAAAGAGAAGTGAAGTGCCTGAAATGTTTGTTCCGTCTGGGCTTTCGCACCGGCTTTTTTTGTGGTCAGATATCCACGTTGCTCTTGGCAGGTTGGCCACAATTAGCTAGTTGACAGAAAGCACTGTTCCCTGTCCTCTCTCCAAGCTGGCGCCAGAACACACTGGCAAGGTGGTGAGGGAAAGCTGTTCACAGAAACAGCTATTTTCACCTCTCTGGAAAACAGAATAAACCAAAGCCCAAACTTCACTGAATTTTCAACACAGAAATTGTTTGTTATCAGCTTGATCATTGGTGACTGCATATATTTTTACTGTTGTTGGCAGTTTGTACTGCCCACCTGATCCGGTCTTACACACTAAAGAAAACTCTGAAAAATGGGGGCACTCTTTATGCATAGCGCACGGCCCGTGTCTGCAGTGCTTGCAGGAGCAAGGGAAGTAAAAAAGGAGGATGTTTCCATTTCACCAGCAGCAAGCTTTCCTGTTGAAATGGGGAATCCGTATTCTGCATATAGCTGGGAGAGTCCAGAGATCTGTGTAGGCAGAAAGATACAGAAACAACATTTGCCCTTCTTCTTTAGCAGCGCTGGCTCAAACATACACGATGCAGGAGGTTTGCTGTAGCATCGTTCTGCATACAGATCTCACACTACTGTGAATGAGTTCATGTATACTACTACGGGGTTAGAGGATCCCTCCCTATGGAGTGTACCATAAAGTGCAGGCTGTATGTCACTGTTCACATCAGTGTTTCAGAATCCTTTGAGAATTTTGCTTGGTAGCCACTCTGCACATGTCCTATGCAACTTGTATAAAATGCTTGGCTGGATAGGGCTGGTATTAACAGGCATCCCAAAATGTAATCGGACACAATATTTGTGCTGGTTTTTATCAGTTGCTTCTGCAGCAATTACTAGAATGAGGGCAAAGGGGATTATAACAGCATTGGTGCAGTTAATTGTGCCTCAAAGCAGGGGATCTGAAGTTCTTAGTTCTGTTTGGTATGAATCTGTAGGTAAGACCATCAAAGGCATGGGACAGAAATCAAAGCAAATAACAGGTTTGGTGTTTTCTTGGGCAGCATGTTAGTACTGAGCACCGTTCAGGTCAAAGAGGGACCGGGTGTTGGGGACAGCTGCTGGACAGAACAGGATTCTGCTCACTGTAAACCTCCCTTACTTTGAGCCACTTCAGGGCTTGTTTTATGGTTTAATTCTTATGTATTTTTAAGGTGGAAGAAATAAGATATAAAATATGTTAACACAAAACTCCATTATACTATCAGTATTACAAATAACATTTAATGAGAAGGCATTTTTAGAAGAAAACCCTTTTTTGCATCAACATAAAATATTTCTTCTACAATGCTGCTGCTTTTTTTATCAGGTGAAACAGCTGAAAATTTTCCTTTTCTTTTTTTTAGACACTTGTGTAGTATAAATTGCCAAAGATTTAGGCTAAGAAATCCTGATATCTGTTTGTTTCTCACTATTTAAAAGTATTATGGCTTTGATTTTGTTTCACTAGAGGAAGGAGGCATTATATGATACTTATGAAAAAAGAAAATTAAATCTATGCACAAAACTGTAGGCTTAAGAGAGGAGTTTATTTGTCTGCTTAGGCAATGTTAGGCTTTTTTAAAAATTAATTTCCTTTTGGGTAATTTGTTTTGAGATAATACTGCAGTGTGGAAGAAAGTTTGCCAGTAATTCAGTTCATGCTAATGCCTTCACTTTTTTAAAAATAAAAAACCAAGAAAAAAGCCCCAACAATGACTCATTCTGACAAATGATATGAGGTAATATGTGTTTGAAACACCAGTTATTTGTGTAACATGCACGAAACGTTCCCATTTTTCTTTTTTATTTGGAGACCTGCTGAAAAATAACATTTAATCCATCCTTGTGTTTCTTTCTTATCATGATGCTTTTTCCCAATATATGTTATTTTGCATTCTTGAACAAGAATTTCTTGTGGGCAAATTTGCTAAGTGTCTCCATCAGTTTCTGCTCGTGCAGAGCCTCCCCTGCACTGGTGTGAGGGAATTTGGCGTTGCTCAGTGTTTCCTAGAACCAACCTGTGACTGATTGCACAACTGAATGCACAAAAACATACTTTGCTGCATGGGAAGGAGGAGATTAGAGTATTTTCAGTGATTGACTCCCTCGATGAAGTGGCCTGTCACTTTTGGGGCTCCTGTGCAACCCTGGCAGAGCGTTAAGTCACTTTCTGTCGTTGGACAGGATAAAGGAGGGGACGAGGTGATACCCCTGTCTCAGGTGGAGCTTCAGCTGCGTTTAGCAAGGCAGCTGGTGGCTGGCACAGCACACACTTGACTCTGCAGTGAATCAGGTCCATGAAGAAAACCTTCCTGCACTGACAGGCAAGAAGTCAAATACGTTGTGCTGCTCTCTCTGGAGCCAGTCCTCACTTCACAGTAGACATCGTGGTCCCAGTAGTCACCGTGCATCAACGTGTGTTCAGCCTGGGTTCTTTTAGATGTCATAAGTTGTGTTATGGTACAGCATCAGATATATCTGTTAAATGTAAAATGTACCATGTTTTGAGAGTACAGTGCTTTTACTCAGTTGTCCTGTTGGTATTAACTCAGTTTACTGGCATCAGCAATAAGGATGACATAGCATAGATGAGCTGCTGATGCTTTCAGCACTGGGTTGATGAGATCAGCTTTGAGCAGGGTTAGGTAGCACAGCTATTAAAATGGCAACAACAAACATCTTTCAAAAGACAAGGACTCCTGGAAGGCTGGCCTTGGGAACTGGGTGGAAAGCATTGCTAAGCTTTGTCAGTGGAAGCAGAACACTAATGACTCTGTTCCTTGGGTTGACGTGCACGCAGTGCAGTACATCTTCTGCAAAGTGATGTAAATATCAATGGAAAGCTAAACCATTCATTTCAGGTACCAGGAAAAGGGAATCTTAAAACCTTAGGTTTCGGACATGATTCAGTGCTAGAGATCATGATCAGGTGCAGTCATGCTGTGCTTGTATGGTAGATCTGACTCATGACATAGTGGTACTTAATGTATGGATACTGTCCTGATGGCCCCTGGCTCGTTTGGGATGTCTCTGTGCTAAGTGTAAGCCTTTGTGAACCTGGTGTGAATACACTGTTAGAAAACACCCCAACTACAGCCGAAAAATATTAGGCCTGTCGAGGTCACTGACACAAGAATGACACACTGCCATTCTTGTGTGCCCAGCTGCTGGCAACTACTTGGCTGACAGGTATGGAGCTTTGAGAACCATTGCATGCGTATTTTTTCTAATTCCCAGTAAAGATCCCCTAACGTGAACAGCCCAGATGTACAGCTCTTTCTTGAAACTTTGGCCACGGGACACGGTGATTTATCTTTTGATTCCAGCCAGTGTGTCACAGAGGTCTGCCCCAAGTGAGGCAAGGCTCCATAGTGTGAGGTAGAAAAGGATCCTTTTGAAAGGCTTGCCAGTGCACCGGGGCAGCACTGGTGCTGCTTTCGCTGGAGTTCTTCTCTATGTGGTTTGATGGAAGTGTGCAAGTGCATGTATGCATTGTCACCTAATGGTTATTACTATTTTTCATTAAAATGTACTGTTAAAATAAGAGTGCATGCATTAGAGAGAGAAGCAGGTGTGCAGAGAGATTCTAGTAACGAAATTAAAGTTGGGCATTGTATCACTTTTGAGCACTGGCCTGCTGTGTGCAAAACTTTGTTCAACTCTGTCTTAATAAACAAACTAGAAAAGCTCAAATATTTAAAATATGATATCTGTAAAAGGCCCGTGAGGAAAAAAAAAAATTACCTAATTAATAAAGACTGCTTTTCTCTAGAAGCATCCAAACTGAACAGTCTGTTGGGCATGCGGATTTCATCGTGCCTTTAAATAATAACTAAACTTTTTCCAAATCTGCATATCTATGTGATTAGTTTCTTGATTTTTCTGATTTGGTGTTTTTATGCACTATATATTGATTTTGATCAGCTGTAGCATGCTGGATTAATCTTAACTTGTATTTTTAATACAGTATGCTGATTGCCTCCCAACTCGAACCAACATATGCCAGGAGAGTTTATCCCTGTTTTGATGAACCTGCCATTATTCCAAATCTGCATATCTATGTGATTAGTTTCTTGATTTTTCTGATTTGGTGTTTTTATGCACTATATATTGATTTTGATCAGCTGTAGCATGCTGGATTAATCTTAACTTGTATTTTTAATACAGTATGCTGATTGCCTCCCAACTCGAACCAACATATGCCAGGAGAGTTTATCCCTGTTTTGATGCCCCTGCCATGAAGGCTACATTTAATATCAGAATTGTCCATGACCCAAGCTATGTGGCTCTTTCCAACATGCCTGCTATTGGTAGGTAGACAACAAGTAGACTTACGGGGTTTTTTCCCCCTAAATTACTTTTAAAAAGGATGTAATTTATCTGAACAGACTACATCAACAGCGTTCTAGTTGTCCATGCAGTAATGCCTTGAAAATACGCAGAAAATCTGTTCCTGTGAACTTAAAAATGTGGAGACAGTTATTCATAATTAATGTCTCTGATGGCAATAATTCCATAGTTTTGTCAGTTGCAATGTTCTCTCCTCTGGTTGCTGGAGGCTGCACAGGTTTGATTCCTGGCGTTTACTGCTTAGTGTGTCTGTCGTACTGTGTGACATCTGCTTAAAACAAAACGGCAGCTCCAGTATGCAAAACCTGTAATTGTGTTATTAAGGGATTGCTTTCATTCTAAGTAAATTTTGAGATGTATTTACAATATACAAAAAATTGTTTTACCAGGCAGAGACACTATAGCCTCCTGTGTATGTGCAGAATAAAAATGACAGGACTATAATGCTCTGGAGATGCTTTTCCTGTCCCTTGCTGGGATCTTGTGTGGGATCCATGCAGGATATAAGATTCCAGACAAATTCCGTAATTTAGTATTCCTACAGGAATCCATTGAATGTCGTGCATCCTTCTTAATGTCTTTTTTTCTACAGTTCAGTGCCATGAATTGTTATTTTTCACCTAAATAATTTTCAGCCATAAAAAGGAAGGTTTATGAGATTTGCATGGAAGCTAAGTAACTTAGGAATTATAATAGATGGGATCTCTGTGAGAGTCGCTTGAAGCATTTTTGCCCCCTGAGAATCTTGTCCATGTCTCCCTTATTTAGAAGGAAGGTATCTGGTTAAGTATTTCATAATTCTCAGGCACACATGACCTATATTTGAAACATAATAGATCGTACATCTTATTGATATGCAGCATGGGATAAATTGTCCACAGTTTGCCCACGTCCTAAATCTGATGCAGTTTGATATCCTTCCAAGACTTCAGTTAAGAAGCTCAAGAGTGGATTTTTGGTGTTTGTGTGGAAGGTCATGACTCTGATACGTGGCAGTAGAACTGAGTCTGGCTGCTTGCCTTCTACCAGAAACATATGAAGTTAGTGCAGAAATACAGCATATCGAAGAGAGGTGTAAAAAAAACATGCAGAAACCACAAAATTTGTTATGGAAGAGCAATGATTTGAATATTTCTTTGATATTTTTTTCTAGATGTATCTGAAATGAAGGATGAAAATGGAAGCCTGTGGACTGTTACCACATTTAACACTTCTCTGAAAATGTCAACTTACTTGACTGCTTTTGTGATTTGTGATTTCGATTATGTCACCAGAACCGAGCGGGGAAACGAGGTAAATATGAGGCTGCATAACACATTATAGCAGTTTACAACAGAATTTGGCTCTGTGGTGCATCATGTGCTTTAGAAGATATCACAGACATTAACTGTGCTTTCCATTCCAAAACTATTTGCTTATGTGGCAAAACTGCTAATGTTTATCCAGCAGATATCTCTGCAGAAAGCTTTCCTTTAGGGCAATTAGTTTATTGTCCTGTGCTGATCATTTCATACAATTCCACAAGTAGGTATGGGCTCTGTATCTTAAAACTTTAGGGGCAGCTAGTCTGCAAAAAGTATTTGTCATAATTCAGGGTCTTCTTATGTTCTTAGCTCTCTTAGTTGGACAAAATATCCCATTTCCACTGCTGTGACAAACCAGTGAAGTTCTGTGCTCTGTTCTTCAAGGCCCTTTGAGGACCAGCATCATGACATCAGTAGGTGCAACACTGTGCACCGAGCATTTTGTATACTAGTATCTTAACCTTTTATTCTGCAGTGGACACATTTTTTAGCCTCCAAAAGTGACTGTTTTGTGTTTGAAGCTTCTTCATCAATGAGTATTCAGTTTTGCTCTTACACTACAAGGGCAAAGCTTCTTGAGGGAAGCTGTAAAAAAATGTACTCCACTGGCACCAGTTGTTTCACTTTCCTTCTTTTGTTGAAAGTCAAGGGGGAGAGATGTAACAAGTTGTTACAAAATATATAGTAAACTCAAGCATGATGCCTTATACTGGCTGCCCTTAATAAATGAGAGCACCGTGTTAGCTTCAGGGTTAGTTTGCTGTCATCCTGCTGGGGAAAGGTGGGACAAGGCGAGAGGACAGTGCAGAGGTGACCTAGGAAGCACAGTATTAGCTCCTTTTCAAAGTGAAGATTGGACCTGGTGTATCATACCTGCATATATACCCTGCATAAAACATGTTGGATGCCTACAGCTCTGACTGTGGTGCCTTTTTCTTGGGCTGCTGTGTATTGACAGGAGTCAGCAAAGCAAAGCATTCGAACTAGCATTTTTCAGAGGGAAGAGGCATCACCACCCGTCTTCTGTGAGACAGAGGGGCGAGGGTATTTCACCCCTTGGTTTCAGACAGAGGTGCTGAATTTATGCCTCCACAGTATTTGTGTGAGCATGTTTGTTGTGTCTGTTTTGTTATTTCTGGTAAGTAATTTATAACCTGAAACACTGGTATTATAACTCAAAGCTCATACTAGGATTAGAGTTTTAAATTTGCCCATTATGTTTAGGTTTTTTGTTCTGATCTTTGAATGTCCTCTGAAGCCTCAGCTGAAAAGAGGGGCTCAGAGGCTGAGGATACTCTATTGACTGAATATGCTTTATTTCTTCCCTTTTCAATTAAATCCTGATACTTCCCCAACTGTGCTATTAGGGTTTGGCTGTGCAGCTCCTTGTGAGATTCAAGAAATGTGGGGGTTTTGAGCTGCTAGGCACCTAGGGGGGGTCTCACATCCATAGATAAATGATGGAGACATAAACCTTTCCTCAGGCTACTCCGTCACCTTGGGCAAGTAGCTTCCCTCTTCAGTACCATGACAAAGCAAGTGGGCATGGGAGGCGAAAGCTTTGCTTGCTGCTGCTGTCTCCATTACTCAGAGGTACAGATGTCACCTGCTCAGATGTCATCTCTCTTTAGCAGCAGTGGGAGGCCAGTGGTCTGTTTCAGCCTGTGAGAAAGTTCAAGAGGAAAGATGTGTATGTTTGGACAGCAAATGCTCTCTGAACATCCATTTCTCTTCAGGGAAGCAGTGCTGCGCTGAAGGGAAGTTTTGTCACCCAGACTCCCTGGCTGGAATACACTGGCTTGAGATGTGTGGATTGAAATAGTTTTACAGCATTTAATATTTTATAAAAGAAAAATTAGGAGGCCGTTTGTTCCAGCAATGTATAGTTGGATTCAAGTCTTGGCCCTTTTGAAGTGCTGGAACTCTCCTAGGTTTTAGCAGGATTAGGCTCTGTGCCACATTCTGTTGGGTCCAGCAAGACTTGGGCTGGGATTTTTTTCATTAAAAGCTTCATTGCATGATCTGGTGTGGACAGACAGCATTTTGAAACAATGATTCACAGAAGAGAAGCAAAGAAAATGAAAATATGAGGATTGTCTAACATAACACTTCCTTGTTTTACTGCAGATACGTATTTGGGCTCGGAAAGAGGCAGTTAAAAATGGGTATGTTGACTATGCTTTAAATATCACAGGACCAATATTTTCATTTCTGGAAGACTTGCTTAACGTCAGCTACCCTCTGCCAAAGACAGGTGAGATTAATTAAATGAACCAGAAATGGCTTTTGCTGATGTAACATTCGTAGAAGAAATGGGTTCTTTTGCAGTATTCTCTTTTTACAGCTTACAACATTCATGGAATAAAACCCCTAAGCTTTAACTCACTGAATTCTCCTTTCTGCATCATGGCTCTTATTAACCCATAACTCAGCATTCTTACCTTCACATCACACTCATTCTCTTAAAGCATCATTTCCCAATGAAGGGGCAGATGAGGCTTCAAAGTGGATAGAAGGGAGTTGTTCAGTCACATGGCTATTTCTGGGATGCATAGACGTGGTACAGGCAAGTCCCTGTGTCCTCCTAGTAAATCCCTGCTTGCTATAACCCACGTCTCCCTAAAGCATTCCTTGATTTCTTCAATATGTCCCTGTCTTACCTGTGAGTTGGCTATATGTTCCTGCACATTCCTCCCCAGAAAAAGATTCCTGCAGGAAAACATTGCTTCTGCTTAAAATAGGCATCAGGTAAGTTAGTTAAGTCAAGCTTCAGTCAAGAAAGAAGGGTGCCATCATGTGGTTGACTGTACAGTTTGTCCGCTACTTGTTCTTGGATTCCCAAGGGCTTCAGCATTAATATTATGGGGGAACATGTGCTTTTATACAAATTGGTAGAATATTGAGAGCACAGAGGGCAGTTCTTACTTAAAATGAGTTTTGACCTGGCTATGATCATAGGAGAGCGCAGGATTGTGGAGGAAGAATTGCCCTCCTTTCTGGACTAGATGATTTGTTGATTTGTCAAATCTGTATTTTGGCACTTGAAAGAAATAAATTTTCATCTGTGTAAATGTGTTATCTCCCAGTGTATTTAGAATAACACCACACTTCTTATGGAAAATGTAATATATGCAATTGTCACTTTTTAGATTTTGTTATCTTAGTAATCATACAAGATACTCACAGGCTGTAGACAATTCTGTTTCATGCTTGTGTTGTTCTGTTTAGCAGCAATGTCAATACATTAATTCATTAGTATAAAAATATTACAAAATAGAATTAGAAGAACAGTATCACAGACTTCCTGTTCGGTAAGATTTCAGTTTCACAGAATACTGTAATACCATTACAATCCCCACTGTAAAGTCATGCAATACCAACTGCATTTCCCACTGACTTTCTTTGATGTTTTGCTTAAAAATCAGTAGGATTAGATCAACCAAGAACAGCTCCTTGTAAATGCTAGAGATTTCTATTGTGAACTCAAAATGTGAAATTAAGAATAAACACATTTAAAATTAGAGGTATTTAAAGGTTTGTCTTCACCTGATTTTAATGCAGTTATAAGTGAGCTCTCTTGCCCCAGGCTGGCTAGATGAGGGCTGCCTCACCAAAAGTGAAATACCTTTGCTGTAAGCCTGAGGCGATAAGCCCCGCTGAAATGCAGTCTAGCTTTGCTGGGGTTCAGCACCACGCTTAGGTTAACTGCATTGCTTTTGGACTGGAACTGGCTCAGAAAAACCTTGTGTCTTCTTCCAAAATGCTCTGTATACCTTTTGCAAATTTTGTTCTTTGCTGCTGAGTTTACACAGTATATCTTTCTTTGGGATCCTTGATGTTCATCCAAGGCCCATCTCTGTTTCGTCTGACTCTCACATTTGAACTGGAAAACTGCTCCCTGTGCGTAAGGCAGAAGGCGAGCACAGAGGTAACAGTCCTGCTGTGGAAACAAATAGATGATGTTTCTAAGGCACCTTTCAGATAAGAGGGGAAAGGATCCCTCTACTCACAGAGCTGAAAGAGCAAGATTTTTTTCTTTTATCAGTTGCTAGGCTGAAGTAAGAGGTGAGTATGATCCTTCCCAAACACATGAGAAACTCGTGCAGAGAACAGTTTCTAAGAGCCAGAAGTGAATATATTCTCTCCTAGCATTGGTAGAATACAGCCTTCATTTTTGTTCAAAACATTGGTATGTACAAGATACAGTACAGATCTGGGATTCATGGGAATTTATTATGTGGCTCCCTGAAAGAATGGCAATCATAGAGGAAAAGTACAACAAGAAGAAATTTCATAGACCATTTGCAAGAGTGTTGCCATAATACAGCAAAGAACCACTAAAATATAGTATCCTTTAATTGCACACTGAACCAGTGGGAGCATTAAAATCATGTGAGCATTTTACTTCCAAAAATTTTAAAGGTACCGTTTTTTTTTTCCTCTGTTTGAATCAATTTAGATCTGGTTGCACTGCCTGATTTTGGAGCAGGTGGCATGGAAAACTGGGGACTAATGACTTTCCAAGAATCATCATTGATGTACCTCCCAAGTGATAAACTCACAAGCAGAAAGGCAATGATTGCCATAATTGTGTCACATGAGCTAGGACACCAGGCATGTGGTAAAAAATTCTGTACATTTATTTGTCTATGAGGTTGTTGCCTTCCAGTTGATGATGATGCAGTCACTGATTAGTAGAAGAAAAATAGTGACTTGACAGTAGGGGGTGTGAGCACTAGAGGACTGAAAGACTATTTGATCATATGTTCAGCTGATAAATCAATATTAAAAGCAGATTCCGTCGTATTACAGTCTGCATACTGACTGCACAGGACACATTGATACAAAACTGTTAATGGGCTACTTATTTTCTTTTCTTACTCAGTACCTGAATGCCATACCAGAAAATACTGTAGGGATGACACAGTTCCCTCTATATACAATATACTTAGTACTTTGGTGACAGAATTAATGGACTTCATAAGTATTATTTTGTAGTGGCAGTGCATGTACATATTGCAAAAGGTATTTGTTTTTCTGTAAGAAACAGCCTATGGTACGATAGAACAAAATTAACATGAACACATTTTACACTGTAGCTGGACCTTTGTCCAGTTTTCATAGAGATTTTCAAAATTTTTCTTATTTGGTTTGGAATGATAATGTGGTTTCACTTTTTTTATTGACTATGTTTAATTTACTGTTGTTTGCCAGAGCAACAAGTGTTTGCACTTAGTCAACAAAATTAATGATGGAGTTTAACTTGGCTAATACACTTGTATGCTCTTCTGACAAGCTCTGTCACTTTTCAGACCTTCAGATGAGCAAAGTGTTTTTATTGCAGGCCAATGAAACAAATGTCAGTTTTTAAGAATTAACAAATAAAATAGAAATCTGCAAGTGATCAGTTTTTTGTTAAATGTGAGCTGCCAAATATGAGCACATAGCAGTTGTTGTGGAAGTTTTATTGCTTGCCAAGATAGGGCTTTGCTGATTTTGGAAATGGTTATTTCCCCAGTTCTGTTTATCATCCCCCTGACAATTTCCTTTTGTTAAGAACATGGAGAAATGTTTTTTGTAATTGTTTGATAAATGCCCTACTTTTAATCATAGCCTGATCTTTTAGATCTTTAAATTTTATTGGGAAATGTTTAAAATTGAATAGAGTAAAAGAATGACATAAAGCACTGACATCCATACTCATGGTATGAAATTGTAGGTGAAACAACTAAAAAATAATTTCCCTGAACCTCTGACTTTATCCAAGATGCATCTTTTTCTACTGAATTTCCACTATCTGAAGGAATATCCAGCATTTTATTCAATTGACATGTACACATTAAATAAAGTTACTTCAGCATAGGTATGTGTGTTGAACCTACAAAAATGAAAGCAGCAGTCCAAAGAGATGTTGAGACATTTTTTTTTTCTATTTAAGTGGTTTGGAAATCTGGTTACAATGAACTGGTGGAATGATCTGTGGCTTAATGAGGGACTGGCATCTTACTTTGAGTACCTGGGAGCTACCTTCATTGAACCCAAACTTTCACTGGTAAGTACTAATGCTTACTGAAGTAAGTAAGCTAAAGTAGCAAAGTTCCAGCATGTGGGAAGACAAGGAGGGTGCAGGAGATGGGATTTAATCAAGCCCTGGCATTAGTAACTTAACTCCCCTGGGAAAGAGAAGCAGGTCTTGATTCTTCCCTGGAGGGTTTCCATCTGTTGGGGGCCGTCATCAAACGCAGCTCTTCTGCAGCTGGCAGAGAGGACAGCTGTGATTCTGCAGTGACAAGGAGTTGGTGTTTTGCCCTAGATCTGTCATTTAACAAACCCAGCTTTCTCTCCTGGGTTCTGTAGCTGATAGTTTGCCTCCCTGCCTGTCCAAGCTCTTTTCCAAGCACCCCATATCTGGGTACCTTTACTGAGCAGTGAGTAAGTAGGGCCATTTTGAGTCTGTTTATCCCACTGGGTCTGTGGGTGTCTAGTTGTGGATAAGACCAATATAATGCTCATAGGTAATCTGGCAGCAGGGTAAAACTTCCCGTTCCACCCAAATGGGAATAATCATAAATCCCACAGCGTATTAGAAAACTCCATGCATCATTAAACTCTGAGACAGGAGGATAGGTGCTGCTAATCGTAGCTGTGAGATGAGATGCACTTGCCTTTGCGATCATAAATGTCTGTGCACAGTGCCCTCGGCTTCTGAAGAAAGGAGAAGCCTTTAGTCTGGGCAGGCGCGAGACTGCAGTCAATCCAGTCTGCTTTTTATTTGGCTCAGATGAAATACCATTCGTCACTTTCCTTCTCTAATTCACTGAAGTACTTAATTACATGCTTAATTGGAAACTAATACAGGCATGTCAAATACATTCTGTGAGAAGGATTTTTAGGTCATGGGATACGCTAAGCCCCTGCTTTGAACTTCAACAACAACTGACTTTATTCTCTGTAAAGCAGTGGTTTAATATCATTGAAAAGTATAAAGGCCACCAAATTTTAAACTGGAAAAAAGTCTTTGTGTCCTTTTTAATTTTAATCTTTTCTTTTAGAAGCTTGTCTTTCTAAAAATCAACAATTGCCATTTTATTTATGTCCACAAAGTAAATTTTAATACTGGGCAGTAATTCTATTTGATAAATTACAGTTATGTGATTTGCCTTGGAAGTCCAGGGTAAATTAAACAGGTGCAAAAATACAGTGGAGTTTTATAGGACATACACATTCACAGAATGACAGACTGGCTGAGGTTGGAAGCGACCACTGGACATCATCTGGTTCAATCACTCTGCTCAAGCAGGGCCACCTAAGTGAGTTGCCCAGGACCATGTACAGATGGCTTTTAAACATCTCCAAGGATGGAGACTCCACAGCCTCTCTGGGTAACCTGTGCCAGTGCTCCGTCACCCTCACAGTGAAAAAGTGTTTCCTGATGTGCAGAGGGACTCTCCTGTGTTTCAGTGTGTTCCCATTGCGTTTTGTCCTGGGTACCATTGAAAAGAGCCTGGCTCCATCCTCTTTGCAGCCTCCCTTCAGATATTTATATATATTGGTGAGATCCCACCCCTGAGCCTGCTCTTTTCCAGGCTGAACAGCCCCAGCTCTCTCAGCCTTTCCTCACGTGCGAGATGCTCCAGCCCCTTCATCATCTTCCTGGCCCTTCACTGGACTGTCTCCAGTAGCTCTATGTCTTTCCTCTACTGGGGAGCCCAGCACTGGACCCCACACTCCAGGCGTGGCCTCACTAGCGCTGAGTAGAGGGGAAGGATCACCTGCCTCAGCCTGATGGCAACACTCCTCCTAATGCAGCCCTAGATATCATTAGCCTTCTTTGCTGTAAGGGCACATTGCTGGCTTATGTTCAGCTTGGTGTCCTTCGTGTCCTCAGGTCCTTTTTTGCAAAGCTGCTTTCCAGCTGGGTGGCCCCCAGCATGTCCTGGTGCCCGGGGTTGTTCTTCCCCGGCTGCAGGACTTTGCACTTCCCCTTGCTGAACCTCATGAGGTTCCTGTCAGTTCACTTCTCCAGCCTGTCCAGGTTCCTCTGGGGGGCAGCACGACCCTGTCTTGTATCAGCCACTCCTCCCAATTTTGTGTCATCTGCAAACCTGCTGAGTGTACGCTCTGTCCATCATCCAGATCATTAATGAAGATGTTGAACAGAAGTGGACCCAGTATTTGCCCCTGTGGTACACTACTGGTTACTGGCCTCTGACTAGACTTTGAGCCACTAATCACCACCCAATTACAAATTGAACCCTGAAAATTAAATTTACTGCCTGTTTACAGAGAGAAAAATCAGTCAACGAATTTGATACCATTAATTGGAAGCCTGTGTTCTTCCTGAGAAGTAGAAGTGCTCAACGTGGCCTGCAGTGTTTTAGAAAATTTAGGTTTTTTCTTCACCTTTGTAATTATGTCATTTTCCATCCAGTCTTAGGAGAGATGCTCAGCTGGGGGAATGAATAATCATTTGATAAAAAGAGAACTTTGCTGATTTACACCAAAGGAGCCGTTTTCCCTCCATATTTCTCACTGGGTGACAGCAGAAATGCCACATAATTAAGCCTTGCTACCCTTAGTAGCTTAATGTTTAGGTTATTACTCAGGGTTGCAGCAGGAGAAGCAGAGAATTTAGGAGGAAAATGCTGCCATATTAATGGCATACGTAAATTAGATACAAGTTTTCAGTGTTTGTTCATTTGCTGTGTAATATAGTTGACTTACTTTTCCCTGAGGATTACACTGTTATCGTCTTTGTCAGGCCCAAGCCCACAGTCTTCTCAGATGTAAAATTTTCACTGCCCTAATCAGTAATGTTGCATGTGGAAAATGTTAGGATTGGGTGTAGGGTCCCTTTTACTTCATGGGAAAGTTAGGGAGGGGGAAAAAGGATCGTTCCTTGTTTATTGACAGACTATTTCTATTAATACTAATACCATAATTACATTCTGTCCTGAGAATAAGGATTTTCTTTTAAGCTCACTCAGATTTGTCTTTTTCTTGCAGGATAAAATCTTTTATGATCATGTTGTACAACCTGTCTTAAGGGAAGACAATGAAATAGGAGTTCGATCACTGTCAGAGAGTGAAGACAAGATCAAAGGATCATTTTCTTTAATGTCTCTGTTTGACAGCATCACATACAACAAGGTTAAAAAATATAAAAGTCTTCCTGTTTCTTGTGTATTCTAAACTAATGGTAGGTTAAACTAAGTAGGTTTGAGAGGAACAGTGGAATATTCTGTGGAATTACAATGCTTTTTGTAGGTAGTTTTGTCATTCAATATTTGTTTCTGCTGCATGCACAAAATATTGGATGTTGCGAATCTATTTGGCTATGAAAGAAACGGTGAAAACGTTTTTAACCTCTGTGCAATATGAAGTGTAACCTAACTTCTCTGGAATATAGTTTGAAAAAATACTGTAATAATAATTGCTATAATAATTCTTGTTTTCTCATAGCTTTTTTTCTACTCTAGGGGGCTTCTATTACCTGGATGCTTTCTGGTTTCCTGACTGAGAAGTTGTTTATCAGAGCACTCACTGTAAGTCTGAAAAACTAACATCTTCATCTTGATTTGTAAGGTTGAAAATTACAATTGCACAAATTACTGTTTGTCTTGCTGATGTTTTTCACTGAACCCTCATGAACTCTGATACTTCTGTTTGTTTCTGTACAGTCATATCTGAAAGAATTTTCCTTCTCAAATGCTAACCAAGATGATCTCTGGACCCACATACAGATGGTACTCTTTTTATCTCTAGTATTCTTGCTCTGGTGTTTGGCACAGTCCAAATTTAGAGTATATACTGTTTGTAGAAGACTGCACTGGAATTTGGCTATCCCTAGTGCAGTCTTTCGCTTGCATAAAATTTGCTTTGCTGGCTCTTTTGGCTAATGTCTTCACAAGTGTTTATTTGGCTGCTTTACTACACCTGAGATCAGTGGAGCTAAGTACAAGGAGTAAAAAGATGAGATGGGAAATCAGGGCCAGGTGGAGCTTTGGGTTTCATGGAGATCGCCTAAGCCTACATGAAATTGCATAGCCTGTTCCTCTGGAGCTTAAGTTTTTTCACCAGATCAGAGTGTGTGATGCTCTGGGCTTGACAATCCAAGATGCTGATATGTCACAGATCCAGCAAAGTCTATACCCAGGGCAGTAGCTCAGCATTGCACCCTTTGCTGGTTTTGGCAGAAATCTGAATAAGGAAACAAGTGATAATAATAAGTTTATTTTTTAAAATTCCACTTTCCTGTTCCTCTAAAGAAGGCTTCCATTGTGTTGCAGACTCAGTCTTAGGTTAAGAACAAGAGTGTCACAATTTCAGATATGCAAGGCTGTCACATCTTTTAAGCCAGCAGAGACTGTACCAGTTCACATTATCTTTTTCGATTTGTCTTTACTATTCAGTTTGTTCATCAGGTAGTCACTTAAAAATCTTTGTGTTCTGGCAGCTTTATCTGAGTGAAATTAACAAATTAAGTCTGTCATAGCCATACAGGGGTGTCAGTATGTTAACACTAAAAAGAGAAAGGTTAGCAGTCAGGTTGTAAGAATGAGAAATGTCATCTCAGTACTTCGTAATTCCTAAAAAGGCTTATGCTGTCTTTGTAATAATGTCAATAATGTCCTTTTCACTTTGTTACATAGATTTTTTGCATGAATCAAAGACGAGCAAACTGCTTCTAAGCAGTTACATTTTCTCTAACATGTTAGAACAACCCCTAGAGTGCTGCTGAAGCAATATCAGTAAGTACCTGTTTATCATAAATAATTATAATTCCTGTTTCTCTTGCAGGTTGTAGATGCACAGGATGAAGTTCAGTTGCCAGCATCTGTAAAACAAATCATGGATTCCTGGACATGCCAAAATGGGTTTCCAGTTTTAACATTAAATCTAACCACTGGCACAATCAGTCAGGAACAATTTCTTAATAAAAAGAATGAAAACAGTACTGATTCTTACAAGTATGTTTAGCTTGTGTTTTTATTATATGTTTATACCCTGTTTTTTGCAGGAAACTCATCAGTTAGGACATTATGTTTTGACCATCTGATTATGTAAATTTATGTTTTTTCATGTCATGAGCTGTCAAGTAACATCTGTTTGAGCCTAGAGTTTGCAGTAGTTCTGAAAGCCACCTGTTTTGCCAAAAGGTTGCTTTACTCTGGAGTAGTGACTTTTCTAGCCACATAATGGCTTTGTAAGGACAGACACAGGCCATGAATAGGTTGCAGGGCAGGAGTTTTGCCTGGAAATTTCTTCTTTCCTCATCCCTCAGTTGTATGGACTGGGGACCTGGGTGAACCATGCTGTAGCTTTCTTCCAGTGCATATATTCCCAATCTCTTCTGCTTGGCAAGGGCAAACAGGTTGCATTTCAGTACTTACTTATATAAATGACCCCTTTCTCAGAAAATACTGTGTAGCTGACATGCAGCTCTAAAGTTCCCGTCAGTGAGCATTGCCAAGTTCCTGGTGCTTTTGCAAGTGGTGATACTTATTTAGATGCCTAAAAACAGTGATAGAAGGAGCTGCCTTTGGTCACCCACTTTGGAAACTCATGGTTAGAGTTTGAAATTTCATTAAATTCAGCAGCTGTCATGAGTGTTGGGATTCATGGACAGGGCCCATGGGATGAGTTCTCACTCAAGGAAAAAGTATAAAGGACAGCAAAGCAGTTTTTCCCTGGCTGCTATTGGTGGTCATACAAACAGCCGAAAGAGAAATTTTGACGAGGACCAGAGTTTCCTTTGCTTCCAAGCTCCATGAAGTGCAGTGGATTAGTCCATTCAGCATCTTTGGTTAGCTAGATAAGGAGTTCCAAGTTACAAACGTTAAGTCCTTTACTGTAGTTTCAGCAAGAGGCAACAGCATGGGAATTTAAGCAAATCCAGGGCAAATATTACAGAAATTTTCATTTTCGTGAGCAATTTCAGAGTTTTGTAGCTTTCATCTGTTTTCACTGTGAGGTTTACATTCCCTCAGAAAGGAAATGACAGTTGTCAGAATTACAGTTGTCAGAATTACAGTTGTGTTGCTTGCCTGGAGCCTTTTTTGGTAGATACTCGTCTGAAAAGGAGCTTTATGTTCTGCAGAAATAGGGTGAAGTGTAATAAGTGAGGAGAATAAAATTGTTGCCTGAATAAGGAAAGCCAGAGTACAGAGATACAGTAGTATTCAAATACCTAGCGTTGAATAGTTGTCTAGATATGAGTGCCTATTTAAATCCATGCTAAAACTCCCTTATCTTTGCTGAACCTAAGTGCTGATCCAGCAAAAGTGCCACCATCTGATGAGGTTTTCTGTATCAGAGAGGAGAGAAGGTAGATCGAGATTCTTGTAAGAAGGAACTCATCCAATCTAGTTTAGCATCAGCTGAGGGGGGACAGTTTAAGCATAAGAACTAATCATATTATCTCTTTTTTTATTAAGTAACACATGGATTATTCCTATTTCTTGGATGAGAAATGGATCATCACAACCCTTAATGTGGCTAGATAAAAGCAGCAGTAAGTAATGTATTTGTTCACACACGCTAAAACGACCTGATAAAATCGCACCTAACACTTCTATAAACAGAATTTGAATTGAATAGGGAGATAGTTTTAAAGGCTTATAATAGAAAAATGAGTTTATGGGCATCTACAAGCAAATAAAAAATTCAGTTCTGTGTTATCTCCGTGCTTTCCAATAAACAGCTATATTTTTTGAGAAAGAAGAAATGTAGTCATTAGAATGGGGTAATTATTTTTCTTTGGCAAATCAGCTCTGAACTCCATCAGCTTTTGAATCAGTTACAAGATGATGCAGAGACTGATGTATTTGTGGAATGCTTAAGACCAAAACCGCAATATGTTGTGTGCATATCCCAGCTCTTCATCCTCTGTTTGCAGTGGTTAAAAGCTGCTTTCCCTCTTTTTGAGGCAACAAGATAGCTTGAGTGATCATTTCACAGTATTTGGACACATAAATAAGCAAACAGTGGATGTTTATTCCTCTGAATGCTTTAGATTTAAAGTTAAATAAACCAGTGATTGCTAAGCTGAAAAATTAGAAAATCTGCAGAAAAGAATTGTTAGGCAGTGCTTGCTTGGAAGGACTAGTGTAATGTGCTAATTTTTATTACTGAAGTGATAACAGTTCCATTTCCTCACCCATCATGTGACTTAAGAGCTACAGAAATTATGAAAAAGACCCATCATGTTGCATCTGCCTGAAGGGACTACAATAAAGTAGAAATTCAGGAGTAAAACACATTCCATTTGTATTTGAAGCCATGTGTTGAACTTACCAGATACTATTCAGTCAAGGAACGTGCATTCACTTTTAAGATTTAAAAAAAAAAAGAATTCCTTTTTGCCTTTTTGATGCATAAATAAACCAAATGGTTTCTTACAAAGGTAGAAAGGTTAAGGGTAATTTTAAATTCAGTTACCATTTTGTTCCTGTGAGGTTGAAATGGCTTCTGGTGGAGAACTGTTAATGTAGTCATTCAGAGGTATTCATGAGAATGGTTTTGGTAAATGAAAAGGAGGAATTTGGTACAAAGCATAGTTTTAACTTGAATTTTGGAATAGTTGATGCAGTGGCATCATTATGATACATAATGAGGAAACATCTCAAAAGCGATTTTGTGTATGTGTATTTTTGCTGCAAATTGCTTTGCAGGAGCTAATTTATCTTAATTATGAACAGGTTAAATTAAACTCCAAGCTACAAGCTGGGCTGCTACCAGTAGCCAAGCGTGTTCATTCAGCACTGCGCTGTACAGCGTTAGAAGCCTGTCCTGTTGGTTTAGGGCTCCTCAGGCAATGTCTACTTACTTATCTTCTGCCCATACAATTGTGTTGGTCACTGTCCCCGAGTGATAAATGTCTGTGCAGCAAAAAAAGACACACTAGGAAAAGAGTGCTGTTATGGTAGAACACGTTTCACTCAGCCTGGGGAGTGGAGGAGCATAGTTTTGATATTTTAGCTGGATCTAAAAGTGCTCTTAATGATGAGCAGAGCATTGAACCAATATGCCATTACAGGGGAAGTACTGCTAGTGCCATATTCTAGGCACCCATGCTGTTTTCAAATGGTTAAGCCAGTACCAGTAAGGTGCGCAGGACCTGAGGGGTCAGTTGCTTGTTGAAGTTCTGCTGCTCTGTGCAGAACAGAGATCATAAATGCACCGGGCTTTTGGGGGATTCTCTTTGAGTCCAACCTCAAACTTGTGTCTCAGCTCTCAGAGGAGCACTGAGTCCAGTATTTATAAATGCAAGAGAATGTAGCAGTGCACAGAAAATAAAATGATACATTTTAATGTCACTTTACAGAAGTGTTTCCTGAAATACAAGTATCGGAGTCAGAATATGACTGGATCCTGCTAAATGTAAATTTAAGTGGATACTACAGAGTGAACTATGATAAATTAAACTTAAAAAGATTAGCACGCGTGCTCGAAAGTGATCCAAAGGTAAGGTCATATGTGTTTTCTCAAGCTTATAAACAGATTCTTTCCATGTATTTCTTCTTGCAGTTCTTACTAGTAATCACATTGATGAAAACCTGGAATAATGAGAAACTCACTTATCATGTAAGAAGAAATGATCCACTGCTGCACCACTAAAGTCACTGGCAGTCTTCCACCGTGGAAGAGGAACAGGCCCAAATAGTATCACATAAGCATGAAAAATAACTTTACATGAGATGGCATGCTGTCTTCAAAGTTGTCTTAACAGCTTGTGGTTCTTCCAATCTCTTAAATTTGACTCAAAGAGTTACTGGTATGGATGTGTGACTGAGCTTTATCTGCTGTTAGGTAACCATGGAGAAGGAAAGCTGGGAGGAAGCTTTTTATTTCCACATTTCCTCAAAGCACAATATTTCTGCTGGTGAAATTAAAAAAAAAAAATCATCTGACTTGGGTTTTTTGGTTGGTTTTGTTTTTCTTTGTGGTGGAGATTTTTCTTAGAAGAAAAGTTCCCATCAGTTCTACTTGGGCTCTTTCAGTCCTTTATAGACACTATAACTCAGAGTAGATTTCATCCCACCGCTGACTTGCCACAGCTTGGGCTGAAGGTGAAAGCAGTACAGACCAGCCTGTACCTGTGGCTGTATATGGGGTTGCATAGTATTTAATGTTGCCTAGCCCTAGAGTGAGCCGGAAGCTCTAGTAGTAATGTCAGCTCATTGGTTTTGGTAACAATGGTGAGAAAGTTTAAGCTTTCAGCATAACAGTAATCAGTGCAGATGTCTTCTCCAGAAGGCCTGGACACGAGGCCGATCAGAGCATGTGGTGTGGTTAAACCTTTCTATGGCACACTGGCCTCCTTTCTTTTAGGCTTTTTTCTTTCACAGCAAGTCTAAGTCAGCGGGAAATTAGATGTGTGCTGGCTTAGGGCTGTTTTTTGGCACCGGTCGGTGGGAAGGTTTGCTCGAGCCGCGGCTGAGCTGAAGGGGTATGGAAGCAGGGAAGAGACGAGGAGGGACCAGCAGTCCTCGTGAGAGCACAAGCTGTAGGCAGGGGTTCACCCACGGCTCTGCCTTGGTCATTTAATTCATGATAGTGCCAAACAGTCTGCTCTGGACTAATCTGAGTATGTATTCTGAACTGAAGCCTCAAAAGGGAAAAAGGTACCAAAATGGTGTAACTAAGATATTTTTAGGAAATGTAGTGTTTCCATATTTTAATTTTCATTACAGCATGCAGGTAAGATGGGTCTTGAAATTCCATGCTTAATGTACTGTAGCTGTATATTTATATATATAAATACATTATGTAGCTGTATATTTATATATTTATGTATACAAACATTACTAAAAGCACATACATCATTTCAGCTTAAAATGCAGGATCCATTTTATGATGCTTTGTAGAGATTTTGGCTTAGAAAAAGTGTTAAGGGCTTGTCTTATCCTTTTTAAAAATAGTAAAGCTTTTTTAATCTCTTACTGACATGTTTAGATCTATTAACGCCACATGAATGCTTTCTGCAGGCTATTCCT